AATTTGGTGTGAGCATTTTCATCGTATTTGTTCCCACAGCATAGCATAGCATTTTCTGACTAATATGGAAAGATGGTGAGAAATCATCAGATTCCTTTCCCATACTGTTTATTTCCATGTAAGCATTCTCACTTTTTTTTTTTTTTTTTGTAGAAATGCTTTATTGCCTACATCTGATAGGAAGTTTGTGTGTAATTGTTCCCTCCCTTTTTCCTTCAAACAATGACAGCTCAGCTGATTGTCTCAGTTGGTTTTTTAAAAAGAAATCCAAAGTAGGGAACCAGCAGTTAGCGTAATGGCTATGTCGCTGGACTCCCACGTAGTCGACCGCGGTTCGTGTCCCAGACCCGGTGGCTTAAAACTCACGCCGGGCGCGTGTGCGTGCGTGCCCAAGATCCCGAGAGGAGAATGGAGGAGAAGGGATTGCGGCGTGACCATCCTCCCTGGGGGGTGATTTCTTGCTTTCTATGTCTCTCTCTGTCTGTCTGGCAAGCACACGCGCCCTACAGTGAAAATCTCTCCAAAAAAAAAAAAGAAATCCAAAGAAGTAAATACTGGGTCCTTTTCCCCTTTCTTTCCTCTCTCCTTCCACTTCAGGATACACACCATGGCCCTTTTTTTTCCTTTTTGACTTGGTCCAGAGACTCAGCTGAACAGTTTTGGAGGGAAATTGCAGGTGTGGGGAATGTTGGGGGCCTTTCACCTCCCAGCATGTCCTTTTGGGTTTCTAGGGTGTTTGGTGTGACCCAATCTCCCCAAATTTTCCTGATAGTTAATGCATTCAGCTCTTTTTCTTTCAAAGTTCTACTATAGCAGGATCAAAAACAGGTAGGGAGTCACATACATCTTTGAAAAGAGGAAGTCACAGAGTCTTAGACTCATAGGACTAATTTAGGCTCATCGTACCAGTCTCGATTCCTGCTTCCCTTCCTAAAGTGATAATTAGTCCAAAGGAATAAGATTTCAGAGTACACCGAAAAGAGTCAAAGATACAGACGTCTTAAGCTAGCCAACTTGCTGGTGCTACTGGACACAAACAGCTGGGATTGGGCAATGGTGCTCATCCACTTTCTCACAGGGCTCTAACCTTTGCTTGTGAGCTCCTCCTTTCTTAAATTGTCTCAACTATGGTCTTTTGACTTTGTCCCTAGTTTTCAGCCCTGTCAGCAGGTAGTGCTTCTGTTCTACACTTCTAGGTTCTCTGGCATGTCGGTGTTTGGACATTTCCTCTGGTTCCATTTAGTCTAGGTCAACCCTCAGGAGCCCACCTTAGCTCTGATTCTGGAAGATGAGCCCAAGATGGAATTGGAATCATATGAAAAAACTACAAACAAAAACCTTTAAAAGCGATCATATACCAGAACCAGTAGATGGCATAATGGTTACATTGCTGGACTCCCATGTAGTTGACTGCGATTTGAATCCTGGACCTGGTGGCTTAAAACTCATGCCACGCACGTGTGCACACGTGGCCAAAATCCCTAGAAGAGAATGGAAGAGAAGGGATTTTAGTGTGGCCATGCCCCCTGGGGGGGTGATTTCTCACTTTTTGTCTCTCTGTTCCTCTCTGTGTCTCTGATGAGCATAAAAAACTCTCTTAAAAATTTTTTTGATGATATACAGAGAGAAAAGGGCTGGAAATTGAACCCTGTCAGGAATTTCTCACTAAAAATAAATAAAATAAATAAAAATAAATAAAATAAACTGTCTGATGTAGTCATCCAGTTGTATAATAATATTTCATCAGATTATTGTATTATTAACATCTGTTATTATTGTAGTTAAAACCAATAAAATTATGCATACAGAAAAGAAAAAATTGAGAAAAATGAAGTGCTTAATCAAAAAGCATGGTACAGTGGAGCTGGCTTGGACTAGCTCGTGAAAGCCAGTTGTTAGGTTTCCAAGAATTTTGCAAGTCAGTTGTTAAATACGGCCATTATTAAAAAGTTAACTACTTGAAGGTATGATTAAGCTGTATTAAAACCAAAGGAATATATATGCCAAACTCATCACGTCTTAATTCTTCTACTAGATTTGTTCTGTTTTCTACTCTCTGGAAGCGATCAACATCTGACTCATCTGTAGGTGGCGTGCTGTCTATGGTATGGAATCAGGCATGTTTGCCCAACTTTGCCTGTAGTGACATAGGCCACGGTGAAAGTATTCACACCATGGAATTCAGAAAATGCTATGAGTGAGGATTGTCTCCCTTCCATGGCCAGTGGCTGGACATTGAGCATCACCGTATTCCAAAAGGGTGGCAGTGTCTTTCAAACGTGGCACATGAAGAAGACAAAGGCATAGGGAGAAGGAAAATCTCCATCATTACTGCCTTAGAATCTGTGCTCTACTATCCCTTCCTAAATGGGACCTTCAATTACCAGCCACGTAGTGGGCATGGTACCTCGCCTTTGCCTGCAGAACTGGGCCCTTATTGTCAAGCATAGTCGCGTATCCCAAGCCTCTGACCACCACGAGCCTGGTTTGAGGACGGATCGTTGATTCAAATCAGACTGTTTGTGGCTACAGAGGCTGACCTGAATGGCCTGAATTTGAGCTACCAGGAAATCCAACCTGCCATTTCTGCTAGACATGAACAAAGACGTGTGTAGCTCCAGAAGACACTAGTAATCATTTTGGAACCACAAATGAAAGAGGCTGCCCAAGATTAATATAAGCTGAGGAAGTAGAACCAAGAAATGATGAAAGAAAACCCGGGTTGGGGACCAAGTCTTGTTTAAAACCTAATCTTAGACTTACTGTGAGTTCATACATTTCTTTTTGCTTTTAATCCATCTGAAGTGCACTTTCAGTTTCCTGCACAAAAATGATTCCTTTATGACATATGACAAGAAGTTTGTATCTTCAGCTGAGATATTTACAAGAAGAAAGTAAATAATCTGAGCCCTTCTTATGGCTTTATGTATATATGTGTGACTCTCCAACCAGACAGCAAGCTCTTTGTTGGCTGAAAACTTTTCTTTTCTTTTTTTTTCTTTTTTTTTTTTTTTGCATATCTTCATAGCTAAACTCACACTGTACCCAGCAAGTAGGCAGCAAGCAGTAAATTTTTAATATAGATTTGCTTGACTGAATTGGTTAGTAAGGCAGGGAGGGATTGTATAAGGAGTGGAGTGAATCAGAATAAATCCCTCTTCTCTTCTCTGGCCAAGTAGTCAATTTGAATCCATCTGTTGTCATTTGTGAATGTCCCAGGGAAAAAAGAATGAAGCAATATGACTTTGGGTCCAGCAATTCAGTCTCTCAACTGGAAGAGGTTGTAGTTTTCTTTAGGGACATGGTAAAAATAAGCCTTGGTCTAGAATTTGTTATACACACTAAGAAAACGACTTTGGTCTGTGTTTCCAATGCCAAGTATCTGGATAAGAACTGAAATGTGTAGTCAGCACGCCTCAGAACGTCTACGCCTGAGATACCACATCAACAAACTATCCAGTTACTTAACCAGACTTCTCATTGTCCAAGAGTCTGGGCTTCTTATGTCACTGAAAGTGATAATGAACGTGACAATGGTCTTAGAACTGAGGCACTGTGGCTGGGAATGAAACCGGTTCCTTGTGACTAGGGGTGGGAGACAGATCTGGATCACAGACAAGTCAGCATACGTGTTACATTTCAAGACAGAAATAGAAAATACTGCCGAAAATAGGAATGCTACTTTTTCTGCTTGTCCATCCCTCTCTGTTTTCTTTCCTCCACAACAATACCTCTGTCCAGTATACAAGACATCCTATGTATTGATATTAATTTAACTCTCTCCCCATTTCCTAGAATGTGAGCTCCAGGGCAAAGATTTGTCTCCATTTTTGTTTAGTACCGTAGTCCCAGTACTACACAGACTGGCCCACGTCATGCTCAAGAAATAGTTAAGCAAATGAATGGCTATACCAATCAGGTCATTAATAAGAAAATAAAATGGCCTGGTGAAGAAAAAATAGTTTTTTTTCCAAGTTACATTTAAAGTCTCTTTGACTTAATAAGTTCTGCTTCCAGAACAATCTAACTCTGACTGTAAGCAGTTGGCTTAGCATTCTTTCCCTTCATCTCTCCATCCGGGAAATGGGGTAACAGTTCTTGCCTAGTACTCTTCAAAAACTTTTAGATGTCTCCAAAGAGGCAATAAAGGCATTGGGTTAAAGATTTAATGCAAGGGACTAGCAGTTGGTGTGGTGGTTCAGGCGGCTGGATTCCCACATGGCCAACTGCGGTTCCAGTCCAGGACCTGGTGACTAGAAAATCATGCTAGACATGTGTGCTTGCATGCTCAAAATCCTGAGAGGAGAATGAAGGAGAAGGGATTGAGGGTGGGCGTGGCCATCCCCCCTGGGGGGTAGTTTCTCACTTTGCCTGGCTGTGTCTTTCTCTGTCTCTCTCATTTCTGGTGAGTGCATGTGCTCTAGAGCAAATAACCTTAAAAAAAGAAAAAGAAAAAGAAAAAGATTCAGTGCAGGAGTTTACCATGGATAGTTTTCCATAAAATTAAACAATGATCTCAGTTGTCCATTTACTTACTAAACTGGCAAAATCCTATTTTTTTTAACTTTTATGCTTATTTGTACTTGCAACCATGCAGTAATCAATTTTCTATATTTCTGTTGCTTCTAAAGTATTTTTTTATAAATCTCAAGCTAACATTTCACTAAAAAAAAAGTGCCATTTCAAATTTATCTTTAAAGTCACAAGATTTTTAAAGATAAAAATGAATGTAACCTGCTATTTATTTTCCGATATGGAATGACACTTCCATAGGGTAATACCCTTCCTCCCAATAGGTTAACAGCAGACCAGGTTTTTTTGTTGCAGAACTTATATTCCTCCTCTCCGCATTTTCCTCTTCAAGTTCAATTCTGTTTCGCAATCTCCCCTTCCACTCTTTCAAAAAAGACCCTGTACCTTTAATAACAGAGACCTGGTGAGAGGTTTCTTTCCTAATTTGTTCCCTGGCTTTCAAGTGACGAAACCGGCTGTAATTTGAGAGCAGAGAGATCCTCAGGATATCTTTAGCCAAAAGAAAAGCTCTGCCTTCCCACCCAGTGCAGAAGCTGAAACGTATCAGAAGGCGAGAGCCTGTCTGCAGGCGCAAGCTCCATCTTCCGGGAGCAGGGGAACCCCGAGGGCAGCAGCGGCCGAGCCAGCGTGGTACCATCGCTTGGAGGAGGGCTTCCCCACTCCGCCCTGAAATCCGGAAAGAGTCGGCGGAGTTCCAGCCGCAGAGGAGCAGCGGAGCAAGCGCGAGCGTGGTGCAGCGGACAGGGAAGGGGTTGCGCTCAGCCACATGAAGCCTGCGGTGGAGCGGTGGCTCGTGTGCAGCACGCCGGTCGGGACTGACGCCAGCTCGTTCCCAGGGAGCCACTGACTCCCACGGGGCCCCCCTCGTGGTTCCTGGACCAAACATCTTCTGGGGTCCCTGGTCCTCCCGAGCATCCAGAATGCTGTTCCTGAAGTTCCTCTGCATGGGTTTCTTCTGCCACCTGTGTCAGGGCTACTTCGATGGCCCGCTCTACCCCGAGATGTCCAACGGAACGCTGCACCACTACTTCGTGCCCGACGGGGACTACGAGGAGAACGACGACCCCGAGAAGTGCCAGCTGCTCTTCAGGGTGAGTGACCGCAGGCGCTGCTCCCAGGGGGAGGGGAGCCAGGCCGGCCGCCTGCTGAGCCTCACCCTCCGGGAGGAGTTCACGGTTCTGGGCCGCCAGGTGGAGGATGCTGGGCGTGTCCTGGAGGGCATCAGTAAGAGCATCTCCTACGACCTGGACGGGGAGGAGAGCTACGGCAAGTACCTGCGCCGGGAGTCGCACCAGATCGGGGACGCCTACTCCAACTCCGACAAGTCCCTCACGGAGCTGGAGAGCAAGTTCAAGCAGGGCCAGGAGCAGGACAGCCGGCAGGAGGGCCGGCTCAACGAGGATTTCCTGGGGATGCTGGTCCACACCAGGTCCCTGCTGAAGGAAACGCTGGACATCTCCGCGGGGCTCAGGGACAAGTACGAGCTGCTGGCCCTCACCATCAGGAGCCACGGGACCCGGCTGGGGCGGCTGAAAAACGATTATCTGAAAGTATAAGTGGAGGGCGCAAAGGCCAGGGTGAGAGGCAGTCAGCCCTGTGGGAGGGAGGGAGAAGCAGACGGGCTGACTGTTCCCTGGGCTTAGGTTTCATATCCAGATTTGCACTTTGAGAATGAATCTGAGTCATCTTTAAAAAGAAAGAACAAGCTGAGAGTTAAGTGGTTTATTTTGGTACATTATTTATGTCATTGTTCTTGATCTGTCACCTGCGAAGGACTTAAAGCAATGCCTCCTGCCTTTTCTAAATGGCTTGACAACTCTGCAGAGATAGCTGTTTGAACCACATCTAAAGCGGCCCAGTCTGTGTGGTAGGGACTGGTGGGACCTCTCCATCCTGGAGACGATGGGGAAATACCCAGGAGCAGCTCTCCTGCCTTTAGCCTCCTGTCTTGGGCTGCAAAGTTGTCAGAGCTGCCTGTTTTTCAAGTGAAGTTCAAGGTGCTGCTGTGCACGCTGGCCAGCCTGGGAAGTGTTTTGTTTCTTCTCTTCTGTCTTATTTATTAACGATGGTCTGCAAGGTATTATTTTTATTAAGAGTATTGGCAAGAAACTATATGCAAATCATCCTTCACAGGGAGATTACAAGGTGGCCCTGAGGTGTGTGCATTGCTGGGGCCACATTGAGAAGGTCACGCTTTGTAGTGGTGCATGCACGCTGGCATGCCAAATGACCTGTCTCCCTGTACATCTATGCTCTGCCGTCAGTGTTACTACAGTTGTTGCAAAAAAGTAGATCGCTTGAACACACCCCAGATACCTGGGATTCAGGTTACCAATGTATTCTTTCTCATTGAGGGGTTTGGCTTCTGTTTGCTTTATTGGAAACTTGTACTTCAAGAAGGGGGGATTCTAATTCTATTAACTCCATAGCTAAGTTTTTTTTTTTATTATTATTCAGCCAATAAATATGTTTTCATATAATACTGGCTTATTTTCTAATTTACATCTGTAACTTTTATATTTCATAGAGGGGTCAATTCAAAGGAGAGAGAGGATGAGATTTAAGCCAGTTTACTTTCATTATTTGATAACAAAGGCAGGGTGACTGGCAATCCTCCCTTCATCGGCCATCATTACTATCTTAAAAAAAAATCCAATCTATGCTAGAATTTGATATTTGAACTATGCTACTTAAAAATGCCATTTGTCCTAGTTTTCCCATAGAATGAATTGAAAAATTATATGATGAGACTCAAACCTCATAAGCCCTCTTTATGGAAGGGTGGGTTACATTCTAAGTTACAGGAATTACAATGATGCCTAATTATAAAGCCAGGTCTACATTATTTAAGTAATGACTTTAAAAAGTGGAAAGAACACTTCATGTCCTGTCCTTTCCTAGCCAGTTTTTACCCTCACCTTAGATATTATTTCCTTTCTTACACACACACACACAGAGTAAAATAAGTAAGTGTTCATATTCTTCTGTTCAGCAAGGATCCACTTTTTTCCCCCAACCATGAGGAAACTATTTTCTTATTCCCATGAAATGTCCAATATCCTCCTACAACAGTAAGGCAGACTGAGGCCCAGAAGGGATAAGTGACTTGCCCTCAGCTAGTCAGAGCCCCAGGTCTCCTAGATTTAAGTAAACAACTTTCCATATGGTACTTTCTCAAAGATCCGAAGAGATGAGAGAATGGCATGAGCTGGAACCTTTGCTTAATTATCTCTTTGCTTAAAATGAAAAAAAAAAAAAAAGAGCAATCTCTGGCACAATACTTAAAGTCATCATTTATCATTTTTCATCACCCAGATGCCTGCTTTTAGCTGCCTTGTAGGTTAAATGATCACTTCACCTCCTTTATTCTATGAAAAAATACAAGTGAGGAAAAAATAACAGTAGAGACGAAGGAAATGGTATGTGGTACTTCAATGTTTGTAATCTGAAGTCATGACCCTTCTGTCTCAAAATTTGCCTATCACTTTGCAGTGCTCAGGTATAACCCTTGGGCATATCGAGCACCATCTTCTTAGTTTTCCTAATTGTGATAGGATGTCCGGAAAAACTTATTCCCTGTGCATGCGTGCTCACTGCAGTCGGTTGGTAATGATTGCGTATAGTATTACGTTAAGGAGGACTCAGAAGGCCCGGTAGAGTGCTGTCCCCAATTAGAGATTCTATCAGAGGTGCAGGAAAGGGAGTGGTAACACATCTGCTGAAAACCCGAGAACCCTGAAATAGATTATGTATGAGCTTCTTTCCCGTGCTGAGATGCTAGGATTCCTACAAAACCAGACGGAAATTATGTGGTATTGAATCACTCTACTCAAGACTGGATGGACAGCCAGTAATCTCAGAGGGTCTTATGTGAGAGCCCCAAAGGGCAGATGCGAATCCCAGGTGGGGCAAAGGCGCAGTCCTGGACCACCAGCCCAGAGAGGAGCGTCACGCCTTTTCTAAACACTCTCATGGTGGGAGCCAGCCCCACTCTGATCCTCCCTCCCTGCTTCCTTGTTGTTCTCTTTAGACATTGTTACTTCAAGGATGACACGTCCTATTTTGAAATAGTGGTTCTTTATTTCTTAGACCTTGAAATATTTTGAGAATCTGCAAAAAACTATGTACTCTCTTCCCTGGGAAATCTACTTATAAATTCATTGATATAATCTAGGATATTAGTTATTTTTACAAATCTGTGTTAATGTTTATCTATGCCACTAAGACAGGTTGCAGATCACTTGGAAATGTTGCAAAGACTTCCTGCTGTACCTGTGGACCAAGGGTGCAAAGTACCTTTAGAGTTATTTGGAGCAGAGGAATCAAATACAATTGTTGTGGTTACCATTATTATTAGTTATGGTAACAACTAAATAGTTCACTTTTTAGAGACTTGATATTATGGGTAAGGCCTTTAGCTGAGAAGTTGCCTGGGTTCTTTGTCTTCATGCTGTGTGAGGGAAGCATGTTACAGTAAGATGCAATACAAATCAAACACTTAGACCAGCACCCGAGATGAAGCAAATCCTCGATAAACATTAGTTGTTGCTATTATTTTTATTACTATCATTATCTTTATAATGGAGGCCCAAAAAGCCGAAGTACTTTTCTCAAGGTGAACACTGTGTGGTGCCTCTGTACCTCACTATGCCCTTCCTCTCGAAGTGATGTATGAATAAATGGAAGAAGAATAGGGAGGAGGGGGTTCCCTAGGGCTCTAACCATCTCCGAATGTGTGTTCTGTGGTTCAGAGTCCTGAGACTGCCTATTGGGCACAAGCTCAGCTGCCTCTCTATTTATAGAATTACTCACTGATGCTTTCTCCATGGACTGCAGTGGTTAATACCACTTATTTGAGCTCTCTCTCTGTCTCTCTCTGACCATGTGAAAACCTTCATTGACCTACTTTGAAGCATTCCACAGGTATCCATCTGCCTAGAATCTTTGATGAAAGACACCAGGCTCCTTTGGCCCCTGAACCAACCAAAGCCAGCACCCAGAAGTGGTCAGAAGCCAGCAGAAGCCAGCAGCATGTCGTGCACAGCAGCAGCTAGATGCTGTCTGACGGCTCGCACACCTTTCATTGCCTTTGAAGCTCCCGTTCACAGCTTTGCTAAGGAGCATGTTCAAGCTTTCTACGAGGAGCCTTGAAACTTAGATTATAAACTATTTTAATAAGTTATAAAAACGTCCATGAAAGCCGCTAGCAATATGAAATCACCCTAAAGGGCAGTATGATCAAATTTCCTTAAGGCATTTTTTTAGAAGATGATTATTAAAATCTTTCTGATACAAAATATAACTTGGGTAGAAATCAGAAATGCTAGATATGGTTTGCAAATTTAAAAAAAAAACATATTTTAGACATCCAATCACTGTATATCATTACAGCTTGCAAAATGAAGTTTCCCTGTATGGATATGGTATATATATTAGTCCAGTTAAAAATATTACCATACCGTTATCATCAACAGATAATTTCCCATTTTTATGTTCCTTAAATGTTTTCTTACAAAAGGGAAAACAATTGGAAACATAAGAAGTTTTGGTTAGAAATACAATATAGAAATGTGTAAGGCTAATTGGGCAGGGTAGAGAATGGGGTTCCACAAATATCTTAGTAATTTTGCAGTAGAAGTGGTCCTTAGGAGTATTATTTCTGAAGTCAGATAAGTCGTTGATCAGATTGTTTTCATGCACCACCATACAAGACCTAGTGGTTCTGTGGGACTCAGTGAGAGTCTTTATTAGAATTGTCTGGAAAGTGTAAAGCAGCGGTCTTAGTCCACTTGGTGTTGCTATTACAGAATGCCTGGGACTGGTTAATTTATCATGAACATAAACTTATTAGCTGACAGATCTGAAGGCCTAGAAGTCTGAGATCAAGATGCTGGCATCTGGGGGAGAACCTTCTTCATCATCCCATAGTGGAATGCAAGAGGACAAGAGACAGCAAGAAGGGGCCAAATTTATCTTTTTTTAAAATAATTTTTAAATTTAATTTATTATTAATTATTATTTTAGGTTTGATATAGGGCACGTGTGCTCACCAAAAAGAGAGGGAGGGAAAAATGAGAACGCAAATCACCAGGTCCAGGACTTGACAGTGGCCAGATATGTGGGAATCCAGCCAGTCAAACTCATCTTGTTATAATAGCATCAGTTGGATCTATGGAGATCAAACCCTCAGAGCCTAATCAATTCTTAAAAACCCTGCATCTTAATGCTGTTATAATGGCAATTAAATTTCAACATGAGTTTTGGAGGGAAGCAACATTCAAACCATAATACAGTGAAAAGGAAATAAGAATTAGGCATAATCACATATTCAAGACATGTAAGGGTTTCATTGTTGCTGTTAGAATTATTGCTATTTTGCTTTTAATTTTACTTTCTACCAGAGGGGTGTGTACTCATCAGAGAGAGACAGAGAGAGGGAGAGAGAGAAAGCACCCCCATAGGGAATGGTCATGCTAAAATCCTTTCTCCTCCATTTCTTCATGTTGTCTGGATTTGGGGCACAAACACACACTCACCTGGTGTGTTTCTCAGACCACTGGGGCCTGGACTTCAACTGCGGGTTGGTCATGTGGAATCCAGCTGCCTTAAGCACCGCTCTAGCAGTTGACCCTGCACAATTTTTTGTTAAATGTTTCTATATATCCACAATGCTTCAGAGGCAGAAATTCTGGGTTCTTGAACTTGCCCTAAAATATATTAACCATATTAACTGCAACTTTGGTGAGTCTTTTTTAAGAATTATTTAATTTAATTAATTAATTAATTAATTTTAATTTGAACAGAGAGGGACAGAGTAAGAATATGAAAGAGAGAGAAAGAGAGACAGAGAGAGAGAGGAAGCAAGCCACCAGGTCTGGGATTCAAACTGTTGTCAGCCATGTGGGAGTCCAGTGCCCCTAACAATCACACCACCTGCTGGCCCCTGATGAATCTCTTAAATGTTCAGAAATTCAACCACTTTGTTTGCAAAATGAAAATTGTAACAGCTATTATTTTTTGAATGGGCACTCCCCAAAATGTTTTCCATATATTATATAATATAATCCTCCCAGGATTATATTTCAAATAGAGATGATATTTTGTGAATTTTTCAGATGAGGAAACTGAGACACAAAGACATCTGGTGATTTTTCTAAGGTCTCTGAACTAGAAGTAGTCAAGCTTCCAACACAGGTAGTTTGACTCTTAAACTACT